GGCATCTCTCACTGCACCTGAGCCTCTGGATTCCTCTTGTCCCCCGCAGTCAAGGGCATCGTGCTTTTCCCGAGCCTCAAAGCTCATGTTTTTAACCTCTGCAGAGAGGGGGAACTTGTGCCCGTATCACTCACGACATCTAACCTAGACGTCCTGCGCTGGGATGGGGAGACGGCCGGACGGCGTGAGCATCTCCAAAGCAGGAACCAGCGCCAACGCTCTGGAAAGGGGCCACGCTGAAACCATCCCTACCCCTGGGGCCCAGGATCCAGCTCCTGCGAAGGAGCGATAAAGACCATGCTCCTCGGCGAGGAGGAGGCAGCGGCGCTGAGGTCAGCGCAGATAAAAGGAAGGGGAAGATTACAGCCCGGCGAGACGGTCCGGAGCCGGGCAAGGAAACTCTTCCATGAGGAGTCACGGGGCATGCAGCACCCAACCAGTCCGACCAGCTGCCAACCGGCTCCCATTTCCAGGGCGGCCAAGTCTTGGCCTGGAGGAGGAAGAGGAGGAGGAGGAGGGCTGCCACATGGAGCCCCAGACCCACAGCAGCTTTGTGTGGGATACAGCCTCGCTGGGATGAAGCTGCTTGGCCAGACCACGGGACCCGTGTCAGGATTGCTCCCTTCTCCTGAGCAGACCCCGGGATCTCTCGGGATTTGTGTAATTTCTTCAGCAAACCACCCTCTTCCTTACAGCAAGGAGAGAGGTCAGCCAAAGAAGCCAGGAGGGTATTTAAAGTCCAGCCCAGCTAGAGTTTAGAGAAGGAAATTTCACAATATAATTATTTTCTGACGTGATGTCATGGGCGTAATGAAACAAACAATTACAGCACGTTAAGGAGAGATCCTGTCAGGGCTTGCTGGCCTGAGATTGATTCAGATTTTCCCCTCCCCTCTGCGGACGATGCCATGTGGATGTCTCATCAAGGCCCTGCTACAAAGCTTCCCTTAAAAACAGAAAATAAGAGACAATCAGGTCTTTGTGTCAGTGCTCTGACGGCTGGGAAGAGCCCTGGAAGAACAAAGTCGCAGCAGAGAGCTGGGGATGCATTTGGTAAACAGATTTCAAAGGGTTACTTTCCCCACTAAGGCTTTTTTTTTTTTTCCCCCCTCTTGCAGAAGGATGTCCTTGCTACGTCCCACTACTCCATTCGACCACAAGACTCCGTCCAAATGACGGACAGGAGCCCTGAAAGAGAGCTTGTCCTGCCAGAACACCCCCAGACAGGGGCATGGCTGGGGGCTGGTGCATCTCCCCAGTCCCACCAGTGCCCCCGGCACCCTCCCAGCTCCGTCCTCCCCTGGAATAAAACATCCTTTAGCGCTCGGCGGCTGTTTTGCACAAAACAAGGGCCTCGGACGACGGGTTTAACTCCAGCGCTGGCCTAATGGGAAGCCACGGGCGGACGCCTGTTTACCCAGCACATACCTCAGCCAGGCAGGGCTCTTTATCTCCGAGGCACGGAGCCCTGAGCAGCAGGACTCTGCCAGGGACAGGTACGTGGGGCAGAGCCGCTTTGCTGGCAAAACCATACGGATGCGGAGTTAAACAAACAAAAACAATACAAAATGGAAAAAAAAAAAAAAAAACAACCCAAAAAAAGTCCCTCTCCTGCTTCCTAAAGCTCGGTCAAAAGGGGAAGAGAAACCCCGGCATCGCAAACTTCTCGAAATCGCCCCCACCCCGCTTCCCACAAAGCCTCCACGCGAAGGGTTCTCGTGCGGGATGTCCCCTCCCCGAGCAGGCCAGCGCTGGGGTGACGGTTGGGTGACGCTGCTCCCTGGGGTGAAGACCCCACCGAGTTGTCCGAGCGTTGTAACACCCACCTTTGTACCAGTACACCCGCAGCAGAGCACTCAAACCCTCTTTCCTTCATCCTGGAGGCAGTCCTGCTGCCCACTCGCGTGGGGAGCGGTGGCACCCAAAACCACGCACGGGTTTTTGGGGCAACGCCAGCCGAGGAAATCCCCTCCCCAGCTCCACGGCTGCCTTCCCCTCGCAGCAGGGCTGTCTGCGAGGCCTGTTTGCCCACATACCAACCCATTACGGTCACAGACCTTCTCGTGTCTCTGCCACCGGGGCTAACTCACACCCCATCTACCGCCGAGGAGGAGTCTGCAGCCTGCAGACCAAGCAGGATGCCATCACCTAATTAATACAAACACAAGCTGAGTTAAGTTTGCACAGCACGGCGGGCTCCGCCTCACACCCAGGAGCAAAAAAATCCGATTTTTAAAGACCTTTTCAGGTGTCATTTTCTCCACAGGAATCTTTCCCCTCCCCACTTTGCAGAAAAGAAACTGAAAAGCAGAAATCTCATCAGTGGGGCAGAAATCTTCACCAGGGGCTGAAAGCCACAGCCCAGAGGCGTGCCCCCTGCCCATCGGCTGGAGTGGGGTTCAGGGGACGAGACATGAGCTTCCCGCAGCCCAGCAGCAACCAAGCCGGGACACCGGAGCGGCTGTCAACACTGAAGGAAGCCGAGCTGAACTCTTCAAAGCTCAGCTACAGCCGATTTGCAGGGAAGTGGTAGGAAACGCGGTGGCTGCAAACCCGGGAGGCAGCTGGGGTGAACACTCAGCTACCGAAACCCCTCGCCACACACTCCCAGGCACCCCCTTCTCCCCACCACACCGTAACACGTGGCAAAACCCAAGGGGCCGGGAAGAGCAGCTGCCGGTCTCCTCTCCCAAGCAAACCCAGGTGAGGTTTATATTTTCCATTCACCTCCCTCAGAAGCAGAGGAACTTTTTCTGCTACAAAAAACCAACCAAAACGCCTCCCAATACAGCCTCGAGCAGAAAGCGAGCGCAGAAAGTTCCACCACGCATGGTGCGTGCTCACAGAACTGCCGGCGGCTGAAGGAGACGCTCCCCGTGGAAAATGTTCAGCAATTTGGACAACAGGCAGAGTCAGTCACAAACCACTCCCTTAAATTGCCATCGGAGAGCTCGGACCGGGAGGGACCCGCACCCGCAGCCCCCCAGCGCGGCAGAGGATGGCTCAGCTATGAAGCCGTGGTGCGGACAGAGACGACGCACCCCGTGCAAGATCTGGAGGGGCTCGGCACCCACCGGAGAGGGGCTGTTCGCAGGTGACAGAGGGACAAACGGACCCATCGCCACATCTGACGGACCCAGCTAGAGGAAAAACTCCTCCACCCTGGAGTTAAACCACGCAAATCGTGTGAACGGATCGGTGCCAGGCAGCTTTCTGTCCCTGCCTTCTCCTCCTAGGAACCTAACTTAAGGTCCCATCGAGTTGGGGTCTCGGTGGATCCCCACGAGCCCTTTGAAACCTGAACCCTGCTCTGTTTTTTTCAAACGTAACAACATCAAAGTGGCGCGTCACATCCTCCGAGCTAAGGAAGAGCGAGGCCCTCGGCCACGGTACTTGGTGCAGCCGCCAGCGTTGGATGGTGAATCC